GAAATAGTATATGAATTTGTTGACAAAGTGATAATGAATCATAATATGATATTATATACGGGGTGTTCCATTTGAAAAATCAAAGAAGCCGCTACTTTATAGTAGAAGCGACAACGCCGCTTCGTCTAAAATATTTTAGGCGTGTAGGTCATATTGACTTATGCATACTGTGGAATTTTCAGGTTGATCCGTTGAATAGTTTGCCAGAAACGGCCAATTAACGCCCATCATGAAAAGCCCTGTATATTTATTTAAATTTTCAATACTTGAAAACAACGTAAACGTAGAAAAAGTACAGTGTACAATGCGTGAGAAAATGACATATTTCTCACTCGCTTGATTTGTGGCACTCGTCTTCGGCTCGTGCCAATAAACTTCTGCGCTCGTGAGAAATATGTCGTTTTTCTCACTTGTTGTATGTACAATATACCATTCTCTGACCTTTACATCTTTGCCCATTTGAAGGTAAGGAGGGGAGGACTATTTACGTCCGTACTCTATAGTACGGAAGCGCCATATATTTATATTATTTGTTTTTTGGAATTACTAGAAATTTAATCTCAAAATTTCGAATTTTATCTCGAAATTTCAACTTTAATCTCGAAATTTCGACTTACGACTTCAAACTTTAAATTTCGACTTCGAAGTCGAAATTTCTAGATAAAAGTCGAAATTTTGAGATTACAGTCGAAATTTCGAGATAAAAGTCGAAATTTCGAGATTCAAAGTCGTAATTTCCAAGAAACAAATAATAAAATATGTGGCACTTCTGCGCTTCCGTACTATAGCATATAATTCCCTGGAATTTGAGCTCCTCCTCCAATTTCCTATAAAATCAGTTCCAAATATCCCGGCACGAAAAAACAAGTCAACGTGTTCTGACTCTTGACGATGCATATTAACTGGGCAAAAAAAAGATTAACACAATCTAAACTAGTCACCAAGGTCGGGTATCAGATAACTAGAAGCGCCTACTTCGCAATTAAACAAAGAAAGTGACGAACCACCGCACAGGTGACTGATCGCCACAAGAAAACACGCTTTTATGATGATAGTTTATATTTTAATACTCCCTCATAGTTTCCAGAACCAGTATACGATGCAACAAGGCCTGCTGTATTTCAGTGAGATCAATTTGTCATTACGATGACGTTGAACCTATTTCTTTGGTCATACAGGCCAGCACTTCCCATTCACATAACAAAGACCGATGAAGAACGCTGATAATCAGAAGAAGACAGAGTACTGGTACAGCGGGGTGACACAGGGTCGGATTCCCAGTTTATGTGGTGAATCGCTGATAGGAAAAATTTAACCGACAGCTGACTAGCTCAAGAAAAATCGTAATATTTGATTGGTTTACAAAAATGTACGGTAGACAGAATGGGCAATGGCCAGTCAGTACCTACCGCTTCCTAATTGCGTACAAAATTCGAACCGTTCAGAACTCTTAATTGCCTTCCAGAGACCATGTATGTGGCTTTTCGTGTACTGCACATAAGTCCGAAAAACACACGTTAAATTTGGGTGTTACTATTTTCCATCGCTCACTTGCTCAGAATTTCGCAAAAATGCTTACAACGATCAATACCAGCTTTATTCAGGAACATCAACATGAGTCACATGGTGGCCGCGGAAGTGGACGGACGTGCTGATAACGTCCGTCCACAAGGAAGGTACGCGGATGCCATGTGCTATCGTGGGGCTCGTTTTTGTGTTGTGATAGTCCATTGTAATGAATATTGAAATGTGTGAAAGTTTTACAAAGGTGAGGTTTAAGAGCCCCTTTATTCACGCCGGTATCCAGGCCGGGGTAGTTCGGATAACCACGTAAAGGGACCATGTATGTGAATTAAAAAATCCGAAGGTCTCCCGAAGAGGAGGCGATAATAAAAAAGTACATTGTTTTTTATTATAAAAAGTGTGACAAAAAAGGGGTGGAAACATTGCTTCGAGCAAGACTGCTGCGCCCCCCGACGAAGCTACTGTCAAATTCATGTCAATTTGATAGGAGGAGCCTGGACAAATGCGCCCGAGTGGGAAGCAACGTTCATTAACTTAGAGAAAGAGCTTATTTAGTTCTTGCAATTACTGTATCTCATACGGATGGAAAGGGCAATTGTACGCTCATTGTAGTAGCCAATTTTCCTGTATATATACCAAGAAATGCATTTCATCCCATTGCTACCTCTATGGATCTACTATGGTGTCAGATTTTATCTCTATTTAGTTTGGTCCGATGTAGTTAGGAATCACACGTTAAAAGGTAAGACCTCGTTAGTCCTTAGCTCGCACAAGTTTCTCAACTTCTGAGAGTTGTCGTTCGTATGGGGGCGGAAAAACAGATTTTTTTAAACAGTTTCATGAAATTTTGTGTCTTATTTGCGAGAAATGTGTTTAGTGTCTAGTGAATAGCATTTGTCTGCATACCCTGGAGGGAATGTCAAAAATACATTTTCTAATTCATTTACATCTAATGTTCTTTCTACCCTATTCAATCAATCATTTTCATTCACTGTGATGTATTGTACAGCAATATCCTTCAGAGCTAACTTATGATTTGTAATCATTTACTTACTTTATTTTTTCTCTTTTTATATACCTTTAATTTTTTTTCTCTTCAAGTTAATAGGTTAAGTTGTAAAGCAGCGTAAGCTGAACTTAACCTTTCATCGGCAATCTTGTAACTTATGTCCGATGGATGAAGACCATTTATTATAATTTTTTTTACCGTAGTAAACGCTCGTCAGGCCCTATCCTCCGAAGACCCGATACATTTGGGAGGGCGCGCCAGTATTATCAACCAACGACCTCTCTCCAAACCGTGCGGTAAGTGATCATTGGGTCCGAGAATCATGTGCCCTGAGCAAGCGCAGTGATTTTTGCCTTAGTGCGGTAAGCCGGTATGATTTTGAGATTCGAGAGTAAAGAGGGCACCATTTCATCAAGGACTCCAATAATCAGAACAACCATCTTGACAGAGAATAGAGTATGCGGAGTTCGAAGAGAAAATCTCGATACTTTATCTGTTTGTGCTCGAGAAGGACTACATCGGGCTTATTAGCTTGTATGAGCCTGAGAGTGAGGAAAGAATAGTTCCTATAAATTCGGCATTTCTCGTTCCCCACAACGGATTATTATTATTAATGATAATAATTTGTGTGGGAAAGTAACTTCCTTGCATGATTTACACATCTTTGTATAGAGTTACTTTTTTTTGAAATTGATTGCTTCATTCCTTTCTTTTTTTGTATAAATATGGAAGAGTAGGAAGCTAAACACTTTCTTTCTCAGAGATAGAAGTCTATATTGGACAATTGTTAACTTGCTGAAAATCCTGACTGGAAAAAATATAAAACCAGAATTGGGATAGCACTTTCCATCTTCATTGCATTAATAATAATCATTCAATTTATGTAAAGAAGTGGAAATAATATATTTTAATATTTTCAGCAACATAGCAAGGTTTTTTATTTTTTTCGCCGAGTTTTATATAATGTGTATTATGATGATTGATTCATTAATGTTTCTTTTCCAAGTTTATTTCGATTG